CACTAAGGGGAAATCCTGCCTGACCAATGTGGTGGCCTTCTATGATGGCGCTACAGAACTGATGGACAGGGGTAGAGCAGTTGATGTCATCTACCTGGACTTGTGCAAAGCGTTTGACACTGTCCCACACGACATCCTTGTCTCCAAATTGGAGAGACATCAATTTGATGGATGGACCACTCGGTGGATAAAGAACTGGCTAGATGGCCGCACACAAAGAGTTGTTGTCAATGGCTCAATGTCTGGCTGGAGACCAGTAACGAGTGGTGTCCCTCAGGGATCGGTGTTGGGACCGGTCTTGTTTAACATCTTTGTCGCTGACATGGACAGTGGGATTGAGTGTGCCCTCAGCAAGTTTGCCCATGACACCGAGCTGTGTGGTTCGGTTGATACCCTGGAGGGAAGGAATGCCATCCAGAGGGACCTTGACACGCTTGTGAGGTGGGCTGATGCCAACCCCGTGAGGTTTAACCATGCCAAGTGCAAGGTCCTACACCTGGGTGGGAGCAGTCCCAGGCACAGCTACAGGTTGGGCAGAGAAGAGATTCAAAGCAGCCCTGTGGAGAAGGACTTGGGGGTGCTGATGAGAAAATGAACATGAGCCAGCTTCAGTGTGCGCTTGCAGCCCAGAAAGCCAACCGTATCCTGGGCTGCATTCAAAGGAGCATGACCAGCAGGTCGAAGGAGGTGATCCTGCCCCTCTACTCTGCTCTTGTGAGACCTCACCTGGAGCATTGTGTGCAGTTCTGGTGTCCTCAACATAAAAAGGACATGGAACTGTTGGAACAAGTCCAGAGGAGGGCCACGAGGATGATCAGGGGACTGGAGCACCTCCCGTATGAAGACAGGCTGAGGAAGTTGGGGCTGTTCAGCCTGGAGAAGAGACCTCATAGCAGCCATCCAGTATCTGAAGGGGGTCTATAGGGATGCTGGGGAGGGACTCTTCATTAGGGACTGTAGTGACAGGGCAAGGGGTAACGGGTTAAAACTGAAACAGGGGAAGTTTAGGTTGGATATAAGAAGGAAATTCTTTCCTGTTAGGGTGGTGAGGCATTGGAATGGGTTGCCCAGGGAGGTTGTGAATGCTCCATCCCTGGCAGTGTTCAAGGCCAGGTTGGACGAGGCCTTGGGTGATATGATTTAGCGTAAGGTGTCCCTGCCCACAGCAGGGGCGCTGGAACTAGATGATCTTAAGGTCCCTTCCAACCCTAACAATTCTATGATTCTATTATTTCCATGGTTTTCCCCACTCAAGGTCAGGAAGGTGTTGGCAGGCTGCTCCTCACAACTCTGAGACTAAGAAATGAACTGGACATCATGTTCTGTAGGTAATAGAATGCTGTTGGCTGTATTTGAGGGGATTCATAGAATCCCAGCCTGGTTTGGCTTGGAAGGGATTTTAAAGCTCATCCAGGTCCAATCCCAACACCTTCCACTGGAGCAGCTTGCTCCAAGCCCCTATGTCCAACCTTGCCTTAAGCACTGCCAGGGATGGGGCAGCCACAACTTCTCTGGGCACCCTGTGCCAGCGCATCAGCACCCTCACAGGGAAGAGCTTCTGCCTAAGAGCTCATCTCAGTCTCCCCTCTGACAGGTTAAAGCCTTCATGGGGATTACGGGGAACCTCCTTCTACAGCCAAACATGAAAGGAAAGTGCATGTCACACAGATTCCCACCAGAGATCATCTGGAACCCCTGGCAGTGCACACTGGGAGCAAACCCCCACAGTCTGGGCATCATTTTGGGTTCCAATTCTTTCCAGAGCCACATGCTCCCCTTTCCTTCTCTCTCCAGCAGTAAAACCATTCACAGGAGCCGCAGGACACTGTGCGATGTTGCAGATGAGCATCCGCCATCCTCCTCCTGCTGTCAGCTCTGCCACTCTCACCTCCTCATCTCCCTGCTCAATACCAGCCCTGCAGCCACAGCAGGAGATGGATGGGGCTGAGCCTGCTCCGCAGGGCATGGGATATGTGTATGGATGTGGTGGACATAGGGGGGTGTGCACGGATATGGTCCCTCCTTGCTTTGCATCAGTCCTGGTCCCAAATCCTCACACTGCTCACACTGCCCTCGTGGCCACCCTGCAGGACATGGGGGGCAGAGGCTCTCCTCTCCGCTATGATGGACATAAGAAGGATTTAAGCACTGATCCCTAAGAAGTTAAAGCTGAGTCCCAGTTTGGATCCAGCTGCATGCAGAGCAGGGATGGATTTCAGCCCTTGCCCTGTGCCTCCATCACCAGGGCACCAGGAGGGGCAGAAGCCATCAGCAACCCTATGAGAATGTCTCCCATTTCCTGCAGAGTGCCAGCATCCTTCATCCTGCCCCATGGTGTGCAGTGAGGTGCTGGAGTTTGCAGTTTGAAAGAATGCAGGTTTTAAGTCTTAATGCAGGTTTTAAACTATCACCTGGAGATGCTGACAGCTTTGGAAGATATTTTTGACAGGCTAGCAAGGAGCCAGGTAATAATGTTAAGTGTAGATCAGAAAAGACCAAGACATAGGGGAAAAAAATAACCACTAAGGGCAATAAAAGAGTGTAGATAAATCAGATTGTCTGTGGTCTTGTTGCACAAACAAGTCATAGGAAGAAAGTAAGACCTAGAAATGGTTCCAAACCAAGCCTGGAAGCCTAAGGAAGAGGCTGGGGAAGGCAAAGTGCTTGGTAAAAGTGAAGCTCTGGTGTCCTCTGTCACAAAACCAGCAGATAAACATCATACCAAAGATACTTCCAAACCAAAGTGTTGCCAATGTACTGAAGACTGAAAGTCTAATGTTATACCTGGTAAAGGAAAAGGCACTAAGGAAAAGATAACAACACTTGAATGTAAGGATCAATTTGTTTCTCTGCTTTTCACCACTGAAAAACTACCTCCTAATTTGCTCATGTAGGACATGTTCTGGATGGAAAATGACTGTCAGAGCAGTGAGCTCTGGCTGGGCTGTCAGGTGCAGAGGGTGATGGGTTCTACTGTGCAGGAGCCTGGGGTCTGCCACAGGGGTTTGTCTCCTTTATCTGTCTAAACAGAACCAAAGGAGAACACCCTGGTGTGCAGGGACCATCTCACGGTACCTGAGCAAGAGAAGCAGGGCAGGAACAGAGACATGGACCAAGTTCAACCAAAGCTCCAGAGCATCAGGAAAGCTGGTGATGAGGAGGCAGATTCAAGACCAAACCAAGTCAGGTCGAGTTAATCCCTTGTTCAGGATCAGGTGAAAAAATTGCAAGGAAGATATATGAGAAATCCTAGATGGCCACCAAAAGACTGCATAGGTGTGCTGAACTCCTACTAAACTGGAAACCAGAACTGCTCTAGTAAAGCTCAATCTGCCTGTTCTGAGCTTAAATAGAGATGAGGGAACAACAGGAAGAGGGTGGGGTTGGAGCCCAGCTGAGGCTGGTGAGGGGGATAAAGGCCTATTAGGTCACAATGGGACAATTCCTCCCTGCATCAAAATGCCTGTTTTTCACCCTTGAATACAGTGGAAGTCCAGAGGCACCTGCTCAGCTGTTGGACATCCAGGCACTACAGGTGGGTAACCCCATTTGGGCTGGAAAACTGGGTTCACCCTCCACAGAGGAGCATCAGCAGCTCCAGAGATGGAGTCACTTGCTCTTCATGTCCCTTTTGAGAACTGTGTGCGAGATCTGGAATGTCTCTAAACCCATTTTCATTGTGTCAGTATGTTCAGACCAAAACATTTGCATGGTCCACAAGTGTGTAGGAAGCATCCTATGAGCTGCCTGTAACTGCTGCTGTGCAGCTGTTCTCAGGGACGGCTCATACACTCCACATCCCTCAGATGCCCAAGCACCACAATGCATTTCAGAGGTGATTTCACACCCTTTGCTTTTCCTTCTTTTTGTTTTTCTCTGGCAAAACATGAGCAGCCCTGGAGGCTTCCTCCCAGGAGAGCACAGGCAACTGTATTTACAGCCTAAGCACCACAAGCTGGGCTCTTGGAGTCTGGCAGGAGCTCACCTCTCTTCACATCAGGTGCTTAACAGAGCTGATGCTGGCACATAGATGTTCTTGCTGCGTTGGGGATAAATCCTTGGCTCCAATCACTCGGTGGCAGAGGGAAGGCACAAGAGGTAACACCAACACAAAGCAGAGCCTCGCCTGCACTGAGGCAGTGGGCTTGTGTCTGCATGTTCTTGCATCCTCTTTGGTAAAGCTGTGTCAGAAAACAGCCTTACCAATGTGGGTTTTCTTTATAAGAAGAGGGAGTAATGTCTGATGCAGGTTGTGTTTCCTTTGCATAGGCAGCTAAAGCAGATGCACTAATTTGTTCAAGTGTTAAATGAGGAGGAATCTTACTTTGTTATAAAGAAATAAAAATTTCAGATTGACAACAGAATATAATCACTAACAAATCAGAATTTGGAATCAGCGTGTTTTAAATATCAACTCTGTTTTTAAGGAAGCAAATTAGTGCCCATGGGTTTAGGATGGTTTATTGTCCATTTAACCAATGTTAATGTTATCTGTTGTTAATGATCTCAAATAGTTTGATAAATGTGATTTGGTGACATGAATGATAATTAGAAGTCAAGGCAATACACCTAGAGGACATTAATGTCTAAAATAGGATTTCACTGGGACTGGGACTTTCTCTTGCTCCAGGTTTACATTCACTGCTACGAGGTCCCTGTGAGGTGTCTTCCAGCACAAATTGCTGCCAAACCGAAAGTGAATAAAGATCTGATTCTTTCAGCATACCTGAAAACACACGTGTTTGAATAAATCCATAGTTTTATGTTATCCCAGCAACAAGTGCCATTTGTTGCTTCTACGTGCTCCCTGTCCTATTGAAAGTACCACAAGTGAAAAACATATATATAATGTGGGATAGAAAATACAGTAAACTATATTAATTCCACCAAAATGTCAAAGTTAAACTAGTGACTGAGTGTAGTTAGATCCACTCCTGAATATCTCTTTTTAATCAGTGTGATGTTTTAATTCCTTTTGTCTCAGCAGGTAACACCTGGTCATGGGAGGAAATCACACACAGACTGAATTCATCCTGTTGGGAATTACAGACAGCCCATATGCACAGACTCCTCTTTTTCTCTTGTTTCTATTGATTTACATTGTCACTCTGGTGGGAAACTTCAGCATTATCACATTGGTTCGGGTTTCTCCCAGCCTCCACACCCCCATGTACTTCTTCCTCACCCATTTTGCCTTCACTGACATCTGCTATTCCACAGTCATCTCCCCCAGGATGCTGGCAGACCTGTTATCAGAGGACAAAACCATTTCTTTTACCGGCTGCATGATGCAGTTCCTCAGCTTCACTTTCTTTGGCAGTGCTGAGTGTCACCTCCTGGCCATGATGGCCTATGACCGGCACGTTGCTATCTGCCAGCCCCTGCTTTATGTGACCATCATCTCCAGCCGTGTCTGCTGGCAGCTGGTAGCATCATCCTACCTATTTGCCTTCCTCAGTGCCACCATCTACACATGGTGTGTGTTTGGAGGTTCCCTCTGTGGTCCCAACTGCATCAACCACTTCTTCTGCGACATCATCCCTGTGCTAAAGCTCATGTGCTCTGACACCCACATCAGTGAGATGGTCATCTTTGCCCTCATCACCATCAATGCGGTGTGTGCAAGTGCGGTCATTTTTCTCTCCTACATCTCTATCATCCGCACCGTGCTGAGGATGGGCTCAGCACAGAGCAGGGCCAGAGCCTCCCACACCTGTGCCTCCCATTTGACTGCTGTTGCCTTATTCTTTGGGACAGCATTCTTCATGTACCTACAACGTCCATCTAGCCACAGGACCCTGGATAAGTTGGCCTCCATCTTCTACTCCGTGGTTACCCCCATGCTCAACCCCTTCATCTACAGCCTGAGGAACAAGGAGGTGAAGCTGGCTCTGGTGAGGTGCGGGAGAAGGTTCTTAAATGGCTGGCAACATAGAAGAGTTCTGTCATCTAGGACATGAACAGCTCATCCTAACTGAAGAAGACTGCGATGCACTAAAACAACGATATTTTCCACTAACCCTCATGACTTTATTTACGTTCTTCCACAATTCCTGCTCAGAAGCCAGTGACAGTATTGAATGAGAAAGAGACCCAGCCATCACATCTTCCTTGGAAGGAAATCATTAGGAGGGGAACCTCAAACTTCAATTCACTTTGCAGGCACCATCCTGGAGGTAGAAATTACCTTCAATTATCCCAGGCCTCTTTCCCTCACAGGAAACACCAATCAGCTTTACTGAGTTACAACTTTTGTCACTGAAAAAGTTGTCTTTTTCTTGCATGATTCTTGACCTTGTCCTTCAGCTCCAATAAAATTCCTCCCTCTTACCTGCGAGTTCTTTACCTGCTGCTGGGGTGGGAGGGAAGAGGCAGTGTAGTTTTACATTTGCTTGCTGAAAAAGAGTCAGAGAAAAGGTTCCAAAAGATTCATTGCATTTGTTTGTGCCTTTCAAAGAGAAGAAGCGGGTGGGAGTCCAGGTCTCAAGATGCGCCTTTGAATATGAATTCCTCCCCAGGCTGCAGCTTCACAATAAATTTCACTTCAAAGAAGAAATTTTAGACAATATAATTCAAATCAATGGATCCTCCCATTCAATTTAAGTGGAGTTTTACATTCATTTGCAGTGCTCTTTACTTAAATGGTGAGATAAATGGAATTCCAGGTAGAGATCTGCACCCACATCCCATGTCTATGCCCAGTTTGTTCTAATGCATACCAGGAAAATCAAATGGTGTATTTCACTTACCAATGAAGCCTGTGGCACATTTCCATAGATGAAAGGCAATCCTGAACACAGAATCGATGGTAACTTAGAGCTGTCTGGGTCTGAAAGAAGCCAAAACGCACTGATGTCGGAGAATGTATCTTTACTGGTTGTGACTGCACATTAACCTATGTTTAGGAGGTATGTGGGTGATGAACAGTCTCTTTCATGATCTTTAGCTGTGGAAGAGCATTTTGACACAGCTAGTAAGAAGCTCAAAGCTGAATGTCCAGTGTAATTCTAAAGAGACCAAGAGGCAGGGCAAAAACTCTACAGACAATAAGGTAAAGCAGGTAAATCAGACTGTCTGTGGTCTTCTGGCACAAGTCAGCTGTAGAAACAAAGCAAGACTTAGAAATGGTTCAAAACAAAGTCTGGAGGCCTAAGGAATACCGTAGGAAAATAATACACCTTGGTATCAAGTGAAGCTCTGATGTCCTGTCACAAACCCAGCAGATTTCGACAAAGCTACTTCCAAAGCAAAGTGTTATCAAACTACTGAAGAGCATAAGTCAAATATTACCTATGTTAAAGGAGAACGCAGTAAGGACCAGAGAATAATACTTGAATATAAGGAGGGAAGCCCAAGATGGAGATATGTCCTGGGTTCAGCAGTAGCAGTCATGTTTTTCCTTTGTGTTAACTGGTGCAGTGCTGTGTTTTGACTTCCAGCCTGGGAACAGTGTTGGTGAAACCGATGTTTTCAGTTGTTGCTAAGTGATGTTTACCCTGACCAAGGACTCTGTGAGGCTCATGCTCTGCCAGGGAGGAGGGGAAGCTGTGAGGAAGCAGAGATGGGGCGCCTGACCCGGGCTAGCCAGGGAGGTATTCCATACCACAGCACATCATGCCCGGGGTGGGGGGTAACTGGGAGTTACCCGGAAGGACAGGGGCTTCCGGGTGGGACTCGTTTCTTGGCCGGTGGTATCGTATTCTGTTCCCTTGTTATTTTCCCTTATCATTGTTGTAGTTGATAGTAGCGGTGGTGATTTGTGTTGTACATTGGTTGCTGGACTGTTCTTGTCTCAACCCGTAGGAGTTGCACTCTTTCGATCCTCCTCCCTGTTCCTTCGGGAGCGGGGAAGGGGAGAGCCCTGGTGGGGGGGTGGGGGGGGGGGGCCTCGATTGTTGTCAGCCCGGCACCACTCACTGGGAGTGAGTGAACAAGTTGCCTGACTGGGTTTAAACCACGACAAGATAAGACAAGACACCTCAGGCCACATCAATTCCCCTGGTCAGAATCAACTCCAGCAATTGCTATGCAAGTCCATAAACAAGCCTAGGTCACCATCAAAGGATTCCATAAGTGTATACACCATCCACAAAAATCAAAACCACAACTCCTCTAAAAAAGCTCAGCCTCCAGGGAATGAGCTCAAATAGAGACTGGGGGGCAAAAGAGTGGGGATGGAACCCCAGCTGAGGCTGCTCAGGGGAATACAGGCCTGTTAGGTCACAATGGGACAATTCCTCCCTGCCTCAAAATGCCTGTTTTTCACCCTTGAATACAGTGGAAGTCCAGAGGCAGCAGCTCAGCTGTTGGACATCCCGGTACTACATGCGGATAACCTCACTGGAGCTGGAAAACTGGGCTCTCAAGTGTCCACAAAGGGACAGCAGCAGTTCCAGAGATGGAGTCACTTGTGCGTCATGTCCCATTTGGGAACCTTCTGCAAGATCTAGAATATCTCTAAACCCATATTCATTGTGTCAGCAAGTTCAGACCAGAGCCTTTTGCATGGTCCCCAAGTATGTAGGAAGCATCCTATGAGCAGCTCATCACTGCTGCTCTGCAGCTATGCTCAGGTTTGGCTCATCCACACCACGTCTTTCAGATTCCCAAGCACCACAATGCCTTTCAGAGGTGATTTCACACCCTTTGCTTTTCCTTCTCTTTGTTTTCCTCTGGTAAATCATGAGCAGCCCTGGAGGCTTCCTCCCAGGAGAGCACAGGCAACTGTATTTACAGCCCCAGCACCACAAGCTGGGCTCTTGGAGTCTGGCAGGAGCTCCCCTCTCTTCACATCAGGTGCTTAACAGAGCTGATGCTGGCACGTCGATGTTCTCTGCTGCATTGGAGATAAATCCTTGGCTCCCATCACTCGGTGGCAGAAGGAGGGCACAGGAGGTAACAGCAGCACAAAGCAGAGCCTCCCCTACACTGAAGCAGTGGGACTGCTTCTGCATGTTCTCGTATCCCTTTTTTTGGGAGCTATATCAGAAAGTAGCCTTACCAATGTGTGTTTTCTTTATCAGAAGAGGGAGCAATGGCTTATGCAGGTTGTGTTTCTTTTACATAGGCAGCTAAAGCAAGATGAACTGATTTATTCTTGTTTTGTTATAAAGAAATGCAGCATTTCAGATTGTCAGCAGTATGTCATCACTAACAAATCAGCCTTTGGAATCAACCTGTTTTAACATCAAGTACTTTTGAAAGCAAGCAACTTAATGCCATGGGTTTAGGGTGTTTCAGCATGCTGGAGCTCAGAAACTTATAAATTATGTATTTATCCATGGGAATGTTATCTGTTGTGAATGATCTCAAATATTCTGATAAATGTGATCTGGTGACTGGAATGATAACTAAAAGCCGAGGGAAAAATGTCTGGAGGTCATTCATGTGTAAGCTGGGATTTCACTGGGAATGTGACTTTTCCTTGCTTCAGGTTTACGTTTACTCCTATGAGGTTCCTCTGAGGTGTCTTCTAACACAAATTGGTGATTGAAGATCTGATTTTTTCCAAATATAAAGAACAGATATCTGTGAATAAATCCAGAGTTTTAATTGTCCAAGCATAAAAATCTGAAAAATGGTATTTGCTGCTTCAATATGCTCTTTGATCTTTTTGAAATATCTCAACCTAAAACCATGAAGTACATAAAATTGGGGTGAAAAAATGCAGTAATGTATACTAAAATGTAATAGTTTAAACGGTCACTGATTAGAGTTAGCATGGTCCAAATCTGAATCTCCATTTTTGATCAGTTTGATGTTTCTCTTCCTTTTCCCTCAGCAGGTAACACCTGGTCATGGGAGGAAATCACACGCAGACTAAATTCATCCTGTTGGGAATTACAGACAGCCCACGTCTGCAGACCCCTCTTTTTGTCTTTTTTCTATTGATTTACATTGTCACTATTTTGGGGAACGTTGGCATTATCATCTTGGTTCGGGTGTTTTCCAGCCTCCACACCCCCATGTACTTCTTCCTCACCCATTTTGCTTTCACTGACATCTGCTGTTCCACAGTCATCTCCCCGAGGATGCTGGCAGACCTGTTATCAGAGGACAAAACCATTTCTTTCTCTGGCTGCATGATGCAGCTCCTCACCTTTGCCTTCTTTGCTACTATTGAGTGTCACCTCCTCGCCGTGATGGCCTATGACCGGCACGTTGCTATCTGCCAGCCCCTGCTTTATGTGACCATCATCTCCAGCCGTGTCTGCTGGCAGCTGGTAGCATCATCCTACCTATTCGCCTTCCTCACTGCCATCATCTGCACATGGTGTGTGTTCGGAGGTTCCTTCTGCGGTCCCAACCGCATCGACCACTTCTTCTGTGAGCTTTTCCCTGTGCTAAAGCTCGTGTGCTCTGACACGCACAGCAGTGAGATGGTCATCTTTGCCTTCATCACCGTCAATGCAGTGTGTGCAAGTGTGGTCATTCTTCTCTCCTACATCTCTATCATCCGCACCGTGCTGAGGATGTGCTCAGCACAGAGCAGGGCCAGAGCCTTCCACACCTGCGCCTCCCATTTGATGGCTGTTTCCATGTACTTTGGGACAGGATTCTTCATGTACCTACAACCTCCTTCTAGCCACAGGAGTCTGGATAAGGTGGCCTCCATCTTCTATGCTGTGCTCATCCCCATGCTCAACCCCTTCATCTACAGCCTGAGGAACAGGGAGGTGAAGCGGTCTCTGGTGAAATGCGGGAGGAGGTTTTTCAGCCGCTGGCAACATAGAAGACTTCTGTCATCCAGGACATGAACAGTTCATCTCAAGTCAGAAAGCCTATGGGGCACTAAAACAAAGGGATTTTTCCCAATAATCCCAATGATTTGATGTAGATTCTTCCAAACTTCCTGCACAAAACTCAATTACATTTTTAAATGAGATATAGATCCCTCAAATCACATCTTCCTTCCTTGGAAGGAAACCAAGAGGAGAAGAAACCTCATACTTCATTTGTC